TTACATTAAGATTAAATTTATTTTTTTTATATAAATTAATTATAAAAAATAGTAATAAGGACTAAATGTACATATTAAAAAATTTAATTTTTAATTTTTAATTTTCTTTATTTTTAAAAGATTTGTCTACGTAAATAATATGTATTTTTTGCACTTTTTAAACATTAGTTTGCATGAAGAAAAAAAAAAGTAAAAATTAGTATGTTTTACTATTTAAAATGGTAAGATTTCTTTTGAAATTATTTAAGTACTCTTAATATTTTTTTTGTATATTGATTCATTAATGATATTTTAATGATTTAATTAAAAGTATTTAAATAATTTTATAGAGACTCTTCCCATTTTAATTGTTAGGACGTTTATAATTTTTTGTAATTCCAAAAGTTAAAAAGATGACATTAATTTTAACACCTATATCATGTAGATATTATTAATTAAAAAATCAATCAATTTTTATTTTTTGGTATATTTAATAATGATAGATTGTATATGAAAGGATATCCCTCCATTTTCCTAAATCCCTTCCTACTTGAATTAAAGTTTAAATTTAAAATTTAAAATTCTTAACCATAAAATTACCCCTTAAGGTTATCAATTTTTATTTTTTTTACTAATATATAAAAAATACAATAAATACACTAAATGTATTTCACAATATATTTAAGTTAAGGGAAAGAAAGGAAAGAAAAGGAAATAAATTTTTTTTATTTAGTTATTAAAAAATTAGAGAGAAGGAAAAGAAAATTATTTATTTTATTTTTTAAATTATTTATTTGTCTAATTAAAATAAATAAATAATACGATATCTTTTTATTATACTCCCTTAAAAAATAAACATACACAACTTGATTTTTTGGGTAAAATGATTTTGGTCACTTTTATAAGATTCATTTTCCCTTCCCTGAGCAACGGTTCAAACCGACGCTATGGCAAAATGTTAAAAAAAAAATAAACATACGGTAAGTGTATATATATATATTAAAAAGATTGACTTTTATATATAATAATAATAACAAATACTTAGCTTCAACACGTAATGTACGTAGCCTTTGGCTTCTTATAGAGAAAAGAAACGCTCACGTCTTTGAAAACCACGACTCCAAATGCCTGCTGCGAGAGCGCACAGCATACAAAAAGCCAAAACGCCACCGCCACCGTCACCGCCACCTTCCCCTCTTCTATCTGGAGAGGTAGAGGACAACTTTTTCGCTTTCTAGTCCTCTTCTGATACCTTTCTTCAACTACTAAACTAACCCTTTTGTTTTTGGGGTCAAATTTTGTGAATGTATAAACAACAAAGACCATGCACCGGTAATTCTCAGGCAATTATTTTTGAGGGTGTTACGTTACATACATTCACTGAGTATAGTAGGCGATCGATATTTTATTGAAGAATGAAGAACGAGGATCAAGCGAGGTCCCTGTTTGGGATTTCCCTCTCTGATCGAACCAAATGGCAACAATTCCTTATTTGTTCATCTGGGTTCTTCTTTGGCTACCTTGTTAATGGCATTTGTGAGGTTTGTTCCATTCTTGTTTTGATTTGCCGCACTGCTGTAAATGGTGCAATTTTAGATGCACGTTTCTTGAAAATTCTCGGTAGCCTTTTGTTTCTTTTCAATTGTTTATATTATTAATAATCTCCGTGTTCCTTGTTCCTGATCATGCATGCTCGTTGTTTCTTTCTATTTTTTCCGGGCTACTCTGTGTTTGGTTGCTGAGAAAATTGAAGGATGGAAATTAAGAGAAATGGGAACTTCCCATTATCTAGTGTAGTTTTATTGATTTGTTGTCAAAATATTGTTATAAATTAGTTGAAATGTTGTTTTAATAAATGGTTCGTGTACTCATCTATATGTCATTTTTCTCTGCAGCCAAACAGAGGCCTATGTGTTGTGTAATCATCTATTTACAAATTGTTATCTGTGCTACAATTTTATTTTTTATTTTTTTGAGTATTTCACTGTTACATTGGTCTGGAAGTTCCTGTTGGCATTCATGAATATTGAGTATTAATCAGATTTTTTGACATTCCCTTTCTCTTGACTGTAGGAATATGTGTATAATCGGCTTCAATTCAGGTATACCATCTCGCAATTCTTCAATTACATGTGCTGGGTTTACATATGTATATATGCTTCACACTTTCTATTTTCTAGAATTTTCCAGCTATGGATGGTATTTCACTTTTGTCCAAGGATTTGTATATTTGATTCTGATATACCTTCAAGGCTTCACTACTAAGCAAATGGTAAATCCATGGAAAACATACGTCAAACTGTCTGCAGTTCTCATGGGCTCTCATGGATTAACTAAGGGATCTTTGGCGTTCCTTAACTACCCTGCACAGATAATGTTCAAATCCACAAAGGTATTTGTTATAAACTAAGTATATATTTTCTTTCAACAATCAAGTTTTTTTTGAGTTCTTATTGATCATTCTATCCATTGTCTGGCATAAAAGCTTTTTCTACTTTGGGATTTTAGGTACTTCCGGTTATGATTATGGGTGCCTTCATTCCTGGCTTGAGAAGAAAATATCCACCTCATGAGTACATCTCTGCCATGCTTTTAGTCGTTGGCCTCATCCTTTTCACGTTGGCAGATGCTCACACATCTCCAAACTTTAGCATAATTGGTGTTGTAATGATTACTGGTGCTTTAATTATGGATTCTTTTTTGGGTAACTTGCAAGAGGCAATTTTCACCATGAATCCTGATACAACCCAGGTAATTTTCAATTTTCTTCCATTAATTTTTTGAGGAAAGAAAAAAAAATCCAACTTGAATCTGATTCCTTCTTTTTTTTCTTTTGCTTCTATCATGTAGATGGAAATGTTGTTCTGCTCAACTGTGGTTGGGATTCCTTTCTTGCTTGTACCTATGATTCTTACTGGGGAGCTCTTTAGGGCCTGGAGTTCTTGTTCTCAAGTAAAGAACATTGGGTTCCTTTTATCCCCTTTTACTTTTTGTGCATGACTTATATTATTTTTATTTAACTTTATTTTCTAATAAAAAAGGGAGAAAACGCACCCACAGCACTAGCTGCGTTGGATAGGATGCAAGCATACCAAGGCTAAGACTTTGGTTCTAATCTTTGTAAAACAAATCCCTTTTCCCTCAAATTCCCCATGTTCAAAAAAATATAAAAAAAAGGGGGAGAAAACGTTGCGGTCAAGTCATGTGCATGTCTCTTGCTGGGAAACTTTTGTCACTGTAACTTTCTGAGAAACAGAAAACTTATCACTATGTTGTATCATGAAAGGTCATGTGAAATACTTTGAACACAAGCAGAGGCCTAAATTTCCTTAGTTTTCATTTCATTTTAAGATTGCAATGATTACTCTAAATATTTGTTTTTACTGATGTATTTGTTTATGCCATTGAATTGCAGCATCCTTACGTGTATGGAGTGTTAGTGTTTGAAGCCATGGCCACTTTTATTGGGCAAGTGTCTGTCTTGTCCCTAATCGCTCTTTTTGGTGCTGCTACTACTGCCATGGTAAATATACCATACACTCATACCCCTTGTGTTGTTTTACCAACTAAAATACTAGATTTGATGCAGGAATTTGATAAACACATTTTATTTGCATTTTTGATAGTATAACGGTCATTTGAATGTTTTCATCAGGGTTTGTTGTGGTGTTTAGTTAAGTTAATATTAGATTTATCCTGTTTCGATATGTATCTGTATCTGAGGAATCAATGAATTTTTTTTTAATCCTTTCTTAATTTCTTGTGAGATTGAATTGGTTGTGATATTCAGTGGAATTCTCAATTCATCCTTAAAAATCTTACTACTGTAATATTTCCTAGAATATCATCTTATATAACATTCTCTATGATTTTATCCAATTAGTGATTTTCTGTCTTTGGTGTCATGCAGATTACAACTGCTAGAAAGGCAGTAACGTTGTTGCTCTCATACATGATATTCACAAAGCCATTAACCGAACAGCATGGGACTGGACTGCTGCTCATAGCCATGGGAATCATACTAAAGATGCTGCCGGATAATAAACCTGACCAAAGGACTTCCATCTCAGATGTCAGAACCAAGCATTCCAAATCTTCTTCTTCCAATGAAGAGAAACCAGTAATGAACTGCAAAGAAATAGAAGAAGAGAAAAGACCTCTAGTGTGAATATATATTGTGCAGTTTCTAAGGTTCCTACTCCCCATTTGAAGTGAATTTTTACAGTTTTATATTCTTTTGATGCAAGATAGGAATAACAGAGCTAGGGGGCAATATCAGCTGGGTGTTTTCTGATTTCTCCAGCTTAATTTCTTGTGTTTTTTTTTTATTATTATTAATTTAATTTATATTTATTTACTTTTGGGTTACAAATGAAAGATTTGCATCGTGGGAATGTATAGAATTTGATCAAAAATCTAAACGTCTTTGTTAGTAACAAATGTTCTTGGAATGTTCATAGATGTTATTTTGTCTAACATACCAGCAAAACGCTTAGGCCTCGAAGACAAAGTCTTCACAATATCATAAGCTTGGTTTTGGGAGTTCCATTTTATATTGAGGAAGTGAAAGTGTGATATTTTATTTTATTTTTTAAGATTTATTAATAATAAATATTATCTTATTAATTAAGTTTAGATTTAAATACAAAGTTTAACACTTAAATAAATTAATTTTTTTGAATATTCCAAATTGAGGGATACATTTTTAAAATTGTTTGGAAAAAAATTAAAATTTGAGATATAAAAGTAATACACGATCTAATGTAATAATGTGTAAATTTTTTTTAAAATAAAATTTTGAGTTTGAATTATGTATATAGGTAGATGCTGAGAGACTTTTTCTCTTATGAAATTTAATACAATTCGATTTTAAATTAATTAAAATTTAATATAA